ATTAACCTCAGCTGTCCCAAATAAATGATATAATTAGACATTGAAAATAAAGATTGAGTAATTAATTGAATCTATCCAAAAATAACTAATAAGGTGAGTAAATTTATCCAAATAAACTAATTGCAATATGTGATTAAAAAAGGAATCAAAATCTTCAATAATCTGTCCAAGCCAACAACAGGAAATTGATGCCTGGGTTCATTATTGACTCGTTCAGGTCAAGGGTTTTTTTTCCTGAAAGTTTAGTCATCCTGTCGTAAAATCAGCCGCACGATGTCGCATGGTCAATTTCCTCGTATGCTCTGAATTTCCCACGCTTACACGAGGGAATTTGGATATAAGTCTGACCAGACACGAACGGTTTAACTGCTTCCTTATATCCGCCTTGGAAAACATCCTTTCCATTTTACCGACATTTGTTTGTGTCTTATTTTTTTTAATAGCAACAAATATAAAGCGCTTCCAGTAGTTTTTCGGGTGTGGATTAGATGTCTCAAGTCAGCCATAACAGCATTTCAAAACTGTTGTAAAGTTAAAACCTCTTAGAGGATAAGTATATACTTACTCAGCAAACAGCAACTACTTAAACTTGAGCAACATTATAAATTGACAAGAATGACTTTATATTTTAGCTTGACGCTCAGTTTGCAGACAATATTTGTATAGCTTCTTTTAGTTTAATGCCCATTAACAAGAAAAAGGGCGGCTGAAAATTGAAAATTGAATTTTACACAACGATCAAGTAATCACCAACTTCTATTTCATTTTGCTAAACTTGAAGACGAAAACCATTCCGGTTTTATCACTAGCTTCTCTAGAGAAAACAGTTTTAAACCGTGTTCAACAAAACAATGACTTCCAAACATGTGAACAAGGTATTTAAGGTGGTAGCAAACTTGGCTCCCAATCCAGAGAAAAAGTTTTCTTACTCACGTAACGATCCTCCCCGCGATGGATGTGAAACCTGTGGTAGGTTGTATGGTTTGTACATCAACGATGATAAAATGAAATAGAGTGTTATTGTTTTAATCACAACTTTGCTAAACCAAAACACTTTCACAAAATCCTAATTGGTGTAAAATAAACCAGTAAGTTGGTTACAAAGTTGAATTGAATTTGGAACCGAGAAACAAAGTCAGGTGAGTAGAAATGTTCGGTTGTGATTACGTCTATCGATCATGAGGCACTGAATGTTTAACGTTACATGGTTTTGCTTGTTGCGGATTGTAAATGAAATAAATAACTCAGGCTCTTGAAGTGTCCTGTATTAAGCACCTCTTAAGATTTTTGCAAACTTCCAGCAGGTGTGGGGCAAATCAACTGCGAGGCAAAACGTACGTAGGGTGGACTTAAATGAGGGAGTGCTACGAAACAAAAGAAGTCTAGATCATTGCAAGGTGAAGCAAAGTTTTGGACAAGGAACTTCACGATTTTTTAAATACAAAGTCCTTTCTCCTCAGTTCCTTACAGTCCCTATGGCGTGATCTCTTGCGTTATTCAGATGTTTTATAAACTACTCTTTCCCAATCCTGCAAACATTTTTGGCCATTCTACCGACAAGCCTAGTACCTTACAGCCTCCATGGGCTATCTCTCTCGCGCTATGCAGATGTTTAATAAACAACTCTCTCCCAATCTTGCAAACATTTCCGTCAATTCTAATAGTCTAATACCTCGAGAACCGTACAGCCTCTCCAAAAACAAATTTAAAACAATGCATTTCAATTTATGTAACTCTGAGATAGAATAAATATATGAAAATCATATATTTTGAACTGCGGTATTTGATACGTATGATGCACGATCCTTGCAGTAGATAGCGCTATTTAAGCAATAGCGAAATTCAGACCTGAAAAAAATCAGGCCTGTACGGGACTCGAACCACTGACCTCTGCGATACTAGTGCAGCGCTCTAACCAATTGAGCTAACAAGCCAACTGAGAGCAGGCCGTTAAGTTGATTCGTAATGAACCCGTGAAAGTGATAAATGAGATAGAATAAATATATGATTTTCATATATTTATTCTATCTCATTTATCACTTTCACGGGTTCATTACGAATCAACTTAACGGCCTGCTCTCAGTTGGCTTGTTAGCTCAATTGGTTAGAGCGCTGCACTAGTATCGCAGAGGTCAGTGGTTCGAGTCCCGTACAGGCCTGATTTTTTTCAGGTCTGAATTTCGCTATTGCTTAAATAGCGCTATCTACTGCGAGGATCGTGCATCATACGTATTATGTAACTCTGTTATAATGGAGCAAATACTTTTTTGAGTACAGACTTAGGAGAACTACTGTTCCCCGGGAAGGAATCATTTTTTCAATGCTTTTGATGTGGTTTAGTCCGATGCACGTTTATGCGGTACGATAAGAACACTTAGTTACCGTTTCGAACCAGACTAAATCCATTTTTTTTTTCACAACTATCAAGTTGATTTGTGTAATGTTTTTGAGACCTGAGGTCATTCATCAGCAAAGAAGGGGCCGAAACCTAATTAACAGATCTGATAACGGCGGCATCGAACCAAATACCTCTCTGCAAAGTACAAGACTTCGAGTGGAATGTCTTTTTATCCTAACGGCTAGAAAAATTACCACGTTTGGCCTTAATTTGAATTAGGGAAGTCGCATGGCTTGATCATTTATTCCCACATTTAAATTCCTTTTTCTTCCCACTTGTATAAGCATCAGTGATTTTCGACAAACTTTTAAGGATCTATGATAGCCCTTGTTTTTGCTTAAATAGCATTGAAAGAGCTCAAAGGCAAGAGCGCCGTACGACCCTCTTCGTGCCAGAATGGCAAAACTTTATCGTATCACAGTTACGTTGCATAAGTGCTTCCTACCTCGTAAAACGACGAAAGAAGACAACGTCCTTCCAAAACCTTGATTTCGACTGAACGCCAGGCATATTGTCTCGTCTAAAGAATAGATTCGAAATGTCGTCGGAACTTTAGTCGGGCAGTATTGATGCATACTTGCTCGTGTTATTGTGTTCGCCGGAACTTTTATTTTTTTTTTTTCTAATATTTCAAGTGGAAACGTATTTGAAACTCCAGACGTTTTAGTAATTACCTGTTTACAAATTGTGGACCTGTTTTTAAGCTTAGCTCAGACAGAAAAAAACGACACGCTAGCAATTAATGATGTTGAATTTTACACACAATCAGCGGGACAGTTTCAAAGCTGTGCTTTGTGTACAGGGCATTGAATTGAAACAAAAAAAGTTGTTGAAAATAAGGCAATAGCTATGGATGAATAAATGATGCCTTCGTTTCTGTCGGATTCATTTTGAATCCTTTTTAAATCTTGACGAACGTTAAATTAAACATTTGTATCTGTTATATCGACCTTTACCTTGAGTTATATTAGATTCTAGAGTAAATAGCGCGGCGTTCGTTTATAGCGTATATTTTGCCGAATGAAGTTTGCGATACAAACACTTTGGATATTTGTCCTCTTGGGTGATGCATTGGGCTTTCATCACGCGCTTTGGCGGCAAAAACCCTTTGTACTCAGTCTCAACAGTGCTATGTTGCCGTATACGGTATATCTTAGAATTTGGGCGACCTGAAACCCAGCGCCTCTCTCGTTGCTGTGGGCTTTCATCACGCGCGTTGGCGGCAAAATGTCCTTGTACCCAGTGTCAGCAGAGCAATGCTGCGGTGTACATGCATACATACATATGTTAATTGACCACTCCCCATGGGGGCTTTTCAGAGCCAATTCCCACCCAGTAACCACCCCAGGGGAGGACATCCATCACACAGTAATCTCGTGCGTGGGAAAAAAAATTAACCTCTCCTACCCCTAACCCTGCAGGAGACGAGACCTCCATTTATTCGTCCCTATCCGAGAAGACTAGAGTATCTAACCATTTCTTGATATAGAAAGGTAGCATATTCTTCTCACTTGTTTTAAAACCTTGAGTGTTGGTCCGGCCGGGGCTCGAACCCTCGACCTCTCGCACAACAGTCCAGCGCTCTATCCAATGAGCTAACTGGGAGGCTATCCATTGAGCTAACTGGGAGGTGTGTATATGTTACGACTTTAGGCGACCTCGATCAAAAGGGCCCCTCTTCTTCCTGCAAGAGTAATAAAGACCCTGAGAACAATTTTGAATTTAAGGTTGCCCTTGATTTTGTCAAGTTAGTTATTTATTGCCTTTTTTGTTTAGATCGTCTACAACTTTATCTTTCTTGTTGTTCTCTGGTTATGGATACTAGGGACCTTATAAGCAGTCAGGACGGCAACGCCGTGGAGTTCGTCGATCAAAAAGTGAATTTTTATTTTTAGTTAGAATTTCGCGAATGGCTGGATGTGTTTACTGTCTCTCACGGCGCCACACCTCAACTTCAGCTGAAAGTATGTGAGCAGCGTTGAGTTCCAAATGGAAACTGAAATAATTTTCCGTCGCGGGGTTTCCGTTGTTAGACCACATAAATTTTGGTGATTTCAAGTTGTTGTTTTGCAGAGGACGGCTGAGAAATCTACAAATTTTAAAATGCACATGCTTAACTATTGTTCTGCTCATTAGATCTTTTGTTTTGTGACGTCCTCGTTGCTGTCGTCGTCGTGGTTTGCTTAAGGTCCCTACTAACTAGACTAAAGCCCCGTTCAAACGGACTTGATGGTTGATGAAAGTCTTATAAGTTCGAAGAATTGTGATGAACTTCAAATGTCAAAAAGGACTGAGCTGGCCTTCGCTGGACTGAATAATTTCCATTTCCAGGAAGCTCACTGATAAAAGTTTACAAACTTTCAAGTGGTTTCACTATAAGGAAATTCTAATATATTAAATTTAAACTGTCAAAACTTCCATTGTTTTTTTCTTGCAGTATCAGATTTATCCTTGTGTTTCAAAAATCATAAATATTTGCATTATTCTAAGAGCTGTCGGAAGTCCGACTATCCCATAAGTTGTATGCATTATTTCTTTGACATTTCACGCTCGAGTTGATTTCTCACACTTCATTCGTTAAGCTTCGGCTGCGTTTGCGCAACGCACGTAAATCGAAGTCGTGTAATCGAGACAGGGAAACAGTGGTCTCGCTCTCCTTTATCAAGCTGGAAATTAAGGTTTTGGTGTCACCAGAGCATTCGCGTCGCATTTGTATCTTTGTATCTCAAACTTACGTCAGCTCTGAAGGTAAGCAGCAATCAAAAATTGTTTTCTTTTCGTCACAACATGACTAATTTTTGTTCAGTGAACTTTGAGCGTCTACATAGTAATGTGTAACGTGCTTTCTTCCCAGTTTACACGTCGAACTTTTAACCTTACGTAATACGAAACAAAAAGATTGAAAAGTTAACATTCTTATCTGTGTAATTAGATCCCAGAATGGTTTGTTCTTAATCAGATCTATCGATAGGCGCTAAATGCTGTAAACCTGTAGAGCTGCCTTTCGAAAACCCTTTAACTGTGCTGAAGCTGACTTTGCGAACGGCCGCGCCGCATTTGTCTTAGAATTTCGTGAAGGCACTGACGCATTCTCAATGTGCTGTTGTTAAATTCTTATGCGCAAAGTTTTGCATACATCTGAGAAATTTGCTAATAGTTTAAAATCGCTTTGACTCTTGACGCGTATCTCAAAATGTTTCCCTCTTTAGTGCATGATCTCAGTCACAAAAAGGACAAATAAAGTTCCCAAGTTCTAATGAAATGTAGATTCTTTGACTCTCTAGTGACATGAGAATAGGAAAGTACGTCTTTCTCAGCTTCTCGCTCAATTAACGTCATGTACAGCAGCTGCCGTCAATTTTTACAAACGAGCGTTAATGAGCTGAAGGTAAACATTCTGTGAAATCACATATGTCTCATCGAAGCCAGAACAAAATTCACCATTCGAGTGAGTGATGCGACTTTCAAACTACATTGAGCAGTACAAATTGCCAGCACATCACAAAGGCTCAAAATTTGGCGGTATCTCCGAGAACTTCGTGATAAAAGATAGAGGATGTGATTTTTTTTTTTTGGGAGGTTTCAGACTCATTTCCGGTCGACAGGTTATGTCAACACACTTGTGACGATTTGTTTCTTCTGGAAGCTTTTTCTTCAAACAGGGGCTTAATTACACTTGGTGGTCTTTCGTTGTAAGCTCGTGTTTATATTACTGCTTGACGAGTCACGAGCTTGTCGAAGAAACTCTCTGTGACGAAGTGATTGCAATGTTTAAACCTTCTCTTTCGTTATGGAAATAACCTGTGGGAAAACGAAGTTTCTCTAGAAAAGTTTAGGTTTATTGCCATAATGCATAATTAATAGAGGTTGTCCCCTCTATTAACTATGCATAATGCAAACGTTTTCTCGTCCAAGTACATAAAATTATCTGAAAACCTTCAGTTTCGTGGGATCAATACATCATGTTGATCAAAGTAGCAAGAGGGGGGAGAGAGAGAGGGAGGGAGAGAGAGAGAATTAAACTGAGTCAATTTAGTTGCGAATGATCTCAACAGAATGTTGACCGCAATTAAGGTTATTTTAAGAGCGGAAAGAAAGATTTTTTTCGACCTCAAAAATAATCAAAAAGAAATATGAAAAATATCAATATCCCACGGTCTCATAGCGTTGCCTGAAGGCAAATAGTGTGCATGCATGATTGGAGCTGGGCACTATTGTGAAGCCAAACTTTTGAAGAAAGAGCTTTGAAGGGTTCTGAAAAGAAAACAGTTTTTCAATTGTCGTTATTAAGCCTGGCACAAAAAGAAAAAAAATCAATCAGATGACAAATGTACTGCACACAATAGCATGTACATGATAACTCTTTGCAGCTAATCATGAGATAAGTATTGCTACAGGATCCAGTCCTTCAGGGCAGTTACTTTAATTGAGGTTCAAACAGATAGTAAGATGCAGCGGATTACCGCATGGTTTACATAAACGCCCTAAAGGTAAGAAAAACTCGGTGTTGTGGCGAAGGATCCTTTAGGTATGACGTACATGGCTATATTTCAGTGTTGGTCTTTTACTCTTGTATACTCAAGTGTGCAGCAGAACTTTCCTTGTCGTTAAGTGTTAATTAGCAAACAAAACGGTTCAAACGCATGAAAAGTTTGACCACTTCATGTTGTATGATTCTGCTCAAAAACCGAGCTAGATAATTCTTTTGAGCTAAGAAGTCATAAAAGCGCCGGTATATCTACTATAATTTAAGTCGGCGGTTCTCTGAGTTATGTTTAACCAAATGGTTTAACAAAGGAGTTTAATTCACAGAATAAAAGTAAGAACAAAGCAGAACCTCTAGGAAGAATGACTATTGCTTAATTAGATTTTTAATAAAGTGGTTGTCTTCAAAAGGAAAGGAAAACAGAGCCAGACAATCACAAAACTGTTGATTTGATCGGGTAACAGGTAGGAAACAGTTGCCGTTGTACATGTATTGCGGTACGTGGAAAAAGCTTTTGGATCCTTGACTGCCGATGTAAAAGGTGATTACGGTAAATAGATCTCGTTTGAATTTTCTTTCCAATTAGAATGAAAACGGAATTTTAACTCATATTTAGATGGTAGACAATTTGCCAGCACTATCCCCATGGCAGTCGTGTATAGTCGATGCTAAATTCAAAGCTAGAGGAGATACGTTGACCCGCCAAACTCCTAAACGAGAAAATAACAATTGGAATCCTCGACATTTAGGTCCGACTAGCTAAAAAAAAAAAAACAAACAAAACACGCCGTCCTTTTCATTTACGCGCTCTTAGCAAGCGTGAAGTCACGAAAAGACCTTAGGTTAAGCTAGTCTAGTCACAATGCTAGTACTGAGAACTCAAGGAGCTAAAAAAATTTCATGTCTCGTCTTCTCCTACGGATTATTGTGGCTGTAAACCTGTCTAAATTACACTACTGTTTAAACTTTTCTTACAGGTTTCGCTTGCGAGCTAATATCCGCGCACGACTGATGGCGAATTATAGCCATGAAAGAAGCGACGATCAGCTATGTGCACCATTTCTTTATGTCTTCGAGTTTAATTGGTCTACAAGATTTGATCTCTAAATGATGTTAATTGACCTTAAATCAGCACATGGCGTACATCAAAGTTCCTTAACTCGTTATCAGGCTAAAAAAATCAAATTCTCTAAGAGTCAGTTAAAAAGACCGAGTTATTCATACAAGGAACTTTAACTTTCTGATAGCATTGCCCACTTTTGAGGTAATTATCCCAACGCTGATAACCTTTAGCCTTTCACAAATGCTTGTTGATAATCTAAAATCACACGTTCAGATGTCTGACTGTGAGATAGGATAAAATGATGTGAATTTGAGAAAAACAGCTTCGCACGAGTAGAAATCATATTGTAAGCGAATGAGTTTGAAGCCAAAGTGTTCCTTCTGAAGTTTTTTTAAGTTTTGGAAACCGAAAAATGTTCGGAATTTAAAAAAAAAAAAAGATTGAACTAGCTGTAATCGACCGTTCCTTTGTCTCTGCATGGTGTGGTTTTTGAGTCGATGCATGGCGACGATTTTGGCGGTTTTAAATCTTCTGCTCTTTCTTGGGAAAGTACATCCACAAGAAAAACAAGTAGAAACGAAAACCAAATTAATCGTTACGAAGTTGCAATTCTGACATCTTTTCGTCTTTGAATACAACTGTTTTCCCTGTGAAATCATGTTGCATGATAACAATATTGAGTAAAATACTTTTGCAACATATCGCAGTTAAGTCACCTGTGGCTGTATGCATTTATCTGGCAATCTGATTGGCTGCAGGTGCATACCTAAGGGGGTCAAGAGTGTTATATTCTATATTCCTTCTACCTTAGGGGGATGCTGCTTTGTTTGGGATTTTTCAGATGATAATTTCTTTACTGACTTGTCAAAGAGAGGGATTCCCTCCCTTTCTTGACTTTTACTCGTAAAGAGAAAGCTTGTCACTGACTTGTTGATGGAGATGAATGAAGTTTCACTCGCGTTTGAAATATTTTCAAAGTTTGATACGTTTGAAATGAGATCTCGTGTCAGTTCTGAAAACATTGTGTCCTCTAAGCTATCAGTCACACCAGAGTTTGACACAGTTATACAGAGTAGGTCTCCGTGATTACGGCGTGGTCGTGGAGTCTTCGTTTTCTGGTCTCGTTTGAATTCCTTTAATTGTTTGCACTAGGTCTGATAGCAACCAAAACGTTATCGCAAGTCAGTCACTTCTGGAACGTGATCAAACTGGGAAACGACTTTTGTGATGAAACCCTTCAAGGTAGCAGTCACGTTGTAGAAAAATCTATGTTTGGTCAGTGAATCGGACGTCGTCAAAAATATAGTAAGAGAGAGAGACCCGTAGAGGAGTGATAGTTTATTAAAACAAAAAATGGCCAAACTACACAGCTGAATTTAAGGCCAGATTCACTGTGATTTTAATCGAAAACACAGCGTGCATGTATGTATTCAAACATCTACTGGGCGCCCTAATGACAAAAAGGGGTAATTCAAGGTTGTTAAATTTTACCACTCCAATTAAAACGGAAATCAATTCTCATTTGTCTTCTTTTTCAGACTCTGAAGCCGCTCTAATTGATCAGTAAGGATGTTCTCTATTCACCTTCTATTATGTTGTGTATTTGCAACGGTCTTGTTGACTCGCCTGACTCCGGCGACGGCGGGTAAGTTCAAGCAAAATCATTCAGTTAAGTCAGGTTCTCTCTTCTAGTTTAGGCAAAAACCAGTGCGCGATGTATGATGTACTCAAAAATTATGGGCGGTGATGAATATGTTGCCGCTCATTATACCCCATTCGTCTTTTTTTTTTTCTGCTGTATTAGTTATTTTGTTATTTTCTTTCCTTTCCAATTTGATAGGTAATTTTTTCTCCCAATTGCCACTAATTTTGAAAGAAAAGACTAGAAAAAAATAACAGTGGGCTTATGTCGATGCCAAGTATTTGATACCAGAGATACCGTTGTCAGATTGAGAAATATCGATCCTAGCGAGAAGTATCGACTCCTTTTTGATACAGTAAAAACCAGCAAGTAAGAACCTAAAAATTAAGAACCTGTTAGCCTAAAATTTGCCATTTATACCCCCTATAAACAAGAACCTATTTAGCCTAAGAAAATTAAAATAGGTTCTTATTTTCTAAAATCATATAGTACATTACAGGTACACTGAAATTATTTACTGTAATCATAATCGAAGAAAAAACAGACTGCCATTGCTGTAAAACATGATTTTCTTAAGAAAAATGAGTGCAAAATATGTAGTTACAAAATATAGGACAATTACCAACTTGTTATGCAGGTGTGTTTTTCTCCTGTTTTAAGAACCTGTTTTAAGAACCTAAATAGCCTAAAATTTTGTTAAGTACCATTTATATAAGAACCTGTTTAGGCTAACTCCTAAAAATGTAGGTTCTTACTTGCGGGTTTTTACTGTACTGCACCTGATCTGCTGACACATTGTCTTCTCCTGCATGTGAGTTCTTTTGCTCATTCCCAGAGGAAAAGAGCGCTGTCACGTGTAAAGGATCGTGCGACTACCGCAGCGTCGCACGTGTAAGTGGCGTGCGCGTGCTGAAATGAACGACGGTCAATTTTGATGTGAATATGTCCATATGTTCTTATGTCTGTGTTGTTAACGTAACTACAGAGTACTGAATACCAATTATAAACATGTGAAATGAAAGAAAATATGTATTTGTTCTGACCAATCAGATCACGTGAAATACCAATAAACTCAGTGACGTCACAGTACCGATGTTGTTAGGAAGGAAAAAAGGTCATTCGGTACGGTTATTCACCACAGACCACCGAACGGTCGATAAGTTTTTTCAGCATCGCTTAGTATGGGGACGTCGACTTCAGCTTGCTCACCGTGCCTTTTGTTGCAATTTTTGTCGCTTTTACGTTAAACGCGTGTAGCTCATACGTTCCTGTGTTCCATTCTCCCATTTTTTTTTTATTTCCATTCATTAACCATTTTATCGTATTTCTGCAGCGGAGATAGACCTATTTGAGGTTTTTGGTATCAATTCCAACACGGAAGGCATAAAACAGGTCCAGGGCCTTACTCAAGAGACTGGTGATGCTTTTAAGATCGGAAAACACTTTCCAAGAATGGAATTGTCAAGCCAAGGTTTAGACACAATCAGACGTATGTTGATGAAATACAGACAAATTTTCGTCGTCGCAAACTTGAGGGTCAAAGATTTTTCTCACGGAACACTCTTCTCGATGGAGTCCAAGATCACAGGTATGTTGTTTGCCATCACTCTTTTTTTGTAGTATATGACAGGCTACAGTTAAGTTTTGTTAGTCCTTTCGTTTATCTTAGTAATCGCCTTTGGCGGACGCGTTCGATTCTAATGTCAAGAGATCTAACCCTAAGAATCAAAGGCAGAAAAGTAATTTTTAAACAATATAACCGTCGCATACATAATGCTCTTCAACTACTAAATTTGGACAGAGTTCATAGGGTTTTCTATATGGGCACAAATTTCACTGTTTTATGTTTACAGTTGGTTTTATTTGTCACTATTTTATTGTACATCCTTCGCTTTAATTTACATTGAAATACAGAAGAAGGAGAAGATAGATAGAAAATACTGTTCATTTCACCACAAAGTAAACAGTGAACAAGAAATTAGTAGCTATTTAAAAGCATTATTTTTTCTTTTCAGTAAATGGGAGTTGCCGCAAAAGAAAAATAATATTGCTAAAAAAATTGACATTGAAGTGTAACTTTGAATCTATAACAAAATGCGACAGTCAAGATTTCGAAGGCAATAAGTTAACCGATTCAATTTTCGATTTAGGGAAAACTCTACTATCCGTCTGGATAAGTTGTTATCGGACTTGTCGGCTGGGCATCACCTACCAAACATCAGAGTTAAAAATCCGGGAAGCTTCATTTCACCGTATCGGAGCGTTATCTGATGGTAAATGGCATAAAATCGCGCTGCACATTTTCCCGCACAGTCATCCCAAGAAAACATCTGCCGATCTGTACGTGGATTGCAAGATGCTGAGTCGAAGGAAGTTGTTAACGGAGATAGAGGATCTTGTCCCATCTTCCCCAAAAATATCTCAAGATATCGTGTTCCTATTTGGGAGGAGAAGTGGAAAGATAGACAGTGCAACGCTGATTTGGAAGGTATTAATTAAGCAATTATTGGATGAGGTTGAGCATGATATCATGAATTACCAATGCCGAGGTCTGAGACACGAAGTTTGATGATTCATGATATTATTCGAAAACCGAATTCAATAACTGTTTTTTTATACATTGATTAAATAAGCTGCAAAAGGAGATACTTCTCTCTGAGTTTAAGAAAACTACACGTATACGAACAGCAACTGCCAGTTCTTTTGAAAAACAAGCCTCACGCCAGGGTCTTTGTTTCGTTTTTTTTTTTTTTTTCTTGAGCAGTACAGTGCTTCCTCATTCCATTCAGGATTGATTTTTCAATGAACTGATACACTCTACAACACATAAAAAGGTAACGATTATTTGATTTGTTTTTCAAGGGAAGCCTTCAAAACGTCAAGTTTGTGTTTAACAAGCAAGTGGAAGAGTTGATGAACAGTACAACTTGTCCGTCTCCCAGTCCATCCGATTTGCAAGAGGATGAAGGAGAAGTCTTTTCTGCTGGTAACTTCTGCATCAGTAACGTTCGTTACACATGTACTATGGTTGCTGATATCCATTGTTTTTTTTCCATAATTATGGCTTTGTCTGGCGCGAGCTTGGGACAAAGAAAACAATCTTAGTCTCCCGCGAGGAGTCGAACCTCCGGACCCTCGGATTTTGTGCTCTGATGCCCTACCACCAAGCCACAGAGACTCTATTGTGAGCTAGTTCATAACAAGCTCCATAGGTGACACGTGCCCTGCTCATGCCATCCAGGATCAGAAATGTAAAAAGCTTTATGCGAGTCAATAGAGAAGGAGAGTAGATTTTGGCCTCATCATGAACACGGGACCAAGAAATGAACTGAATCCTCCATAAGGAATCCAACCCTTCATATTCCAATTAGCCATGTTATCGACAGGTGTGCGCGTCAAAACGTATTTTTCTTTTCTTTGTAAGGTTCTCTTCACTCACCGCAGATTAGAGGCCAGACTAGGACGGCATCGGTGGCAGTCCCTGGAGTTCCTTCTTTGCAGTATTCCACTCAAGATTTGATGATGGTCCTTGTTAACATGCAGAAAGAGGCACAAAGACGAGAAGAGAGTCTTCAGAAATCTCTGCTGGATGTGAAGGAGAGATTGCAGTCCCAGGTTAGCCAAGAACGTCAACCTCGTTGCCAGGGCCTTTTCCCCGCCCCACTAAGGGAAAAGGCCTTGGGAACGAGCTTGCCAAGAACGTTTCTAAATGATCACTTGAAACTATAGTTCTTTAAGAGAACTGAGGGGTGGTTAAGTCAGCTTAAGATTTAAAAGAATTACGCTCCTTACAAAGGCTTGGAATTTGCAACACAAAGCGTCCTCAGTGAAGCCTTGGATTAACTTAAGTTCTATTTTTTGTCCCATTTGTTTTCTAGTCTGACGACCTGACGTCTATTAAGAAAACTCTTGAAAACGGTGTTTGCTCCAGCAGGGCTTTCTCTCCAGGAAGGGGAAATGGTAATGATAGCAGCTTAACAACTAAGATTAAAATAGATAACCACTTCGATAAAACTTTTGCCAAGAGAGTCGGTTTTTACGTCTTTATACTTTACATCAATTCAAAATGTTCGAGATGAGGAAATCAGCCCCAAAACTTTGCATTTGTTTTTTAAGTTACACAGCGATTGACTTTCATACATTATAGTGTTTTGAGCTTACAGAAACGTTTCGTTGATTTATGGTTCCCTGATTTTGGTTTCATATCTCAGAAGACAAGTGTTCCCTGAAGCCTTGTTTCCCGTTTGTCGAATGTGTGAACACGCCTGATGACGGGCTCGGGTTCAAGTGTGGCGAGTGTCCGCCAGGATACGCTGGGAACGGAATGAGGTGTGATGACGTTGATGAGGTAAATTAACAAAGATCTGTTGTTTTATATACTCACTAAACACACAACAACGGCAGAACGTTAGCCTTTGACTGATTTAAATCTTTCAGTAAACGCGATTCAAAATGTGCTTTAGTTTTCTTTGTGGTTAAAACCTTTTGGAGCCAATATATAGTGAGACGGTCGTCTCCTTCTCGGACGTTCTACCGAAAGCATTTTGCTCTTTTTAAATTTTCTCCACGAGTCTTTATCGATTCATAACGTGTTACCAACGCAGACCAAAATGAGATTGGAACGACTTTGAGTTACTCCTGCATTGCCCTTCAGATACATCGAACATGAAACAATTTTTTCCTTCAAACTTTAATAGGCTCAAAATTTTTTATGGTAGCATAAAAGAACTCTTAAAGGTTTTCCGCAAGGAAGCATTATCTTCCTGAGAAAAACGATATATGGTTTATGGGTGGGTAAGACTTGCCGCTGAGAAGATACAGCCATATCTGTAAGCTGGGTTCGAGAAAAAATTTTGTTCCCCAGGAAACTGGCAACGAAAGAATTAAATGAGTGAATCAAAAACTCGGGACAATTAGGTTTTCCTAGCCGAACTGGTATGAACCTTGATTAAAAATGGTTTTACTACTGTTTCTTGGGTCACTATGGAGAGTCCAAGGAATTTTAACCCGAATCTGGAACAGCGTGGGGTAAATGCTGGTTTATTTGAGAAGGTACTGGTATACGGTGCGTATCAAGGCAACGATCCTTTTCGAAAAACTTGCTGTGCTTATAACAGTGTTTCTTTCTCGTCTTTCAACATATTTTTCCAACTGATGCCGTCAATATTTTACGAGAGCATAAACAATATCATTACCTTAACAATATTCTTACAAAGCCGATTGATTGGTCCGAAGACAGATCCGTAGAAAAATAAAAAAGAATAAAATCAAAACAAAATTAGTTCCTTAATTTGGAACACAAAGCATTTGTAAACCTTCCATTCTCGTTGACCTTGAGAGCTTACATTGCCTGCTTTTTGCTTTTTCACCGGGAAAATGAATCCATTCCTTTGTTATTTGAAAATGAGGGTCTCTCCTGCAGTATGCAGTGTTTCAAAAACCATTGTGGCTCGTTTTTTTTACTTGTGTTTATTTGAAAATAAAAGCTTAAAGAAAAAAAAAAAAAACAGGAAGAACTAGGCATTTGAGACTCCACGATCTTGACACTCGCAGCTTTATGCGGATTATGTCTCAGGTACTAATGTATTTTTTTAAAATCTCAACTTTATTGAAATCCAAATCCGACCTAGCAATAATCCTAAATATTGCATTCATTTCAAACCAGCCTAGCCAAAGTAAAATAAGATTTCACTGGTAAAATCATCAACATAAAAAGCAATTAACATTGCCTCTAAATAGATAGTAGTAAATAACATTACGCGAACATTTTTTTGAGTAAGTTGCACATGTTTTTTAATGAATACATATTTTTGACCATCGCATCGAAGGTACTGCTGAGAACTAGGTCGATTAATTAAAAGATGTGGACCCATATTTAGGAGAGACAAACCGAAAAAAATATTACCGCTTCACCAATGAATTTCAATTCACCTTAAGATATTTCATAATCATTTTCAAAATAAACGAAGTTATCATCTTCGCCTATTCCATGCTTGATGTGATGGCAAATGGTCGGTACATGCTCTAAAACCAAGACATTAAAATGAGTTTGAATTTGAAGTTTTCCGGAAACTCGATGGATCACTAGAGGACTGTTAAACTTGCACAAACTGTATCCCCCTTCCTTGCGATAAACAGCTACTCTCGTTGAGAATGGAATAAATCTGTCATTGTTTAGTAAACTGACTCCGATGTACTGCATTAAAGCTCCGAAACAGGCGTCTTCATTTGGAAACAACTTGACAACTTTCAAAGCTGTCGAAAGGTTTTTCAGCAGGTTTCCGCTAAACACGTAACCTGCCCCGGATGCATACGGTGGATATGTCGGCTCGGGATACTCTTTTTTCGACACATAAAACTTGCTCCCTTCATCCCGATAGGGTTCCCTAGCAATGAGCGCAGCCCCAACGTAAAGAGTGCTAGTTCTTGAGTAAATACGGTCATATTTCTTGAGCAATTTAATAACCTCCCGTAGGTTGACGAACGAGTCGTCATCTGTCTTCAAGACGTACCTGGCCTGGCAGTGTTTAGAGGCCCATTCAACTCCAAAAGCCATTTTTCTTGATAAATTTCGGTACGAATCGATGAAGTTCCCAAATATCATATCTTTGTGGTGATTTGCCTCGACTTCAAGCAGCTCGTCTAAGCGCTCGTTCTGCGTATGTCCAATGAGGAAAACCGTTTTCCACAAACTAAAGCGAGCAAGACAAGAAACATGAAGCGAAGTGAAGAGCAAATCTCAGACACAGTTTAATTTTTCCCGTTCATTTATTTTCCTATCAGAGTTTTTTTGGTACGTGCAGAATGGCCCTTTTCCCCCGATCGCACATGCATGGCCCAAATGGCTTCATGTGACGATGTCTAATAAAAAGAAAACAGCTTTGGCATGTTACGGGTTTGGTTGTTTAATTGAAGGAAATTTATTAATTCATTTCAACCAAAGTCACAGACGTAACGAGATTTACCGAAATATTGACAGAAATTACAATGAAATTGAAGATAAGTTTTCACACAATCTGGGGAACTGTCATGACCTACTCTTTTCCAGTGAAGACACGTACTAGACGAAATATGTGAACAGGAAATTGAAACTTTTGTTCATCTACTCGTGTGATTTGAAAATTCATCATAATTGAACCGGTACTTTGCAACAAATTACCCCCATTTAACAACACAAATTTAGATGTTGAAACAAACTAGCCACGGAATCTTAAATAGATTTTACACCAAAAGGCCTTAGGCAAAAACTCATGTAGGTTTCTACCAGGCAAAATTAAACGTTTTTATCGACTCGCTTTGACCTCGCTTTTACAGGATTTATACTAACCTTGGAACTAATTCTTCCCCTGCATTTGCTACATTGATAAAGTTTTGTGGTCGCCCCCAAGTTAAACGTATGGCTTCTCTTTCCATGAAATTCTTCGGCGTTGTATGAACCTCAATCAAGAGGAACGGTGTGGGTTCACAATCAGAAAAGGCGGTGGAGTTTCTCCTATATCTGCCTTTTTTCTGATAAATTCCAGCTTGTTGATAAGCTTTACCGACAGTTTCTTTGTTAGCTTCATATCTTCTGAACGTTTCTTTTATCTCCATTTGAAGAGCTTTGAGAAAACTATACCTACTTGGCGCTTTTTCTTCAATGACAACAGTTACAGCTCGGTTACCGTTATGAACTAATGATTTTGCATGTTGATGATAAACCAACACGAAAATGTTCCCAACTGCAATGAAAAGGACCAAAAACGCTAGAATGATAGTAGTTCGCCTGAGCACAAGTCTCATAGCGATAAATACCAAAGTAGATACCGAAAGTAGACCAAAAACAAAGCAAAGCGCCAGAAAACTTCTTTTTTTGATTTTCTTGGGACACACAAGCTTACACAAATGACAACAGGTTTTCTCGCGGGTCAAAACGGCGAGCCGGTTTTCAAACAAAGCATTCTCTTTTGAAGCCGGCTGATAAAGCTTAAACAGAGCAAATATTATGGCAAATACAATTAGCAGGAATTACTCCAGGAGCCAAATGCTACCGTGGAAATTAGAAACGATTTACTGACCCTGTTCTCAATTAGCAAAAATTATTGTCTCCAATTTGTCAATAATGATGTTTTCTTTAATTCCGCCGGATCTATTTTATATAACGTAGATTATCTCGAACTTTTAATAGCGCTTTTCTTTTCGCTTTGATATTTTCTCTCTCTGTTATAATAAATCACGGCGCTGGTGGAGTGGACTGAATTTATCTTGCACGGTAGCAAGTAATGAAAGATCTCAACGAAGATCAATAACTCAGTGAAAGTTAGTTATAAAGGAATCTATATACTCGTCTCAGAAATGTTTTTAAGAACCTGGTTCGTAAGGACCTACATTTGCTTTAAGTTATGATTACAGCGGATTGGTCAGATTTTAATTATACTGTGTTTGTTTTGTTTCGTCTTGCTTTGTTCTTTTCGCTTATTATTTTTTTAACATTACACCACAATTTGCTGTGCCTGAGCAAACATTCAACCGAAGTATTACGCAGTTTCGATTAAACCAAAAACGCTCAAATTCTAAGCCGAAACCGGAAGCATTCAGGGAATAATGAGATAGTACGAGGGCTCTGATTGGTTTAAAACCTGTCGTTTATGACATCGGTAAACCCATAGAAAATGGAAGTAAATTTTACAGAAGCAATAGACCACAATTTCTAACGGTTTGCCAGCGTATACAACCCCTCTTGGTATGTCGAGAGTACTCGAAAAAAGATTGGAAATCACGTGCTCGAGGCGGGTGATTTACTTGTATCCTTTTCTCTCGTTCTCCCGACATCCCGCGTGAGTTATTACGCCGGCAAACTGATCGAAAGTGCGCGGTCTATTACTTAAACAAAACTATTCAGAAACGATAAAAAAGCAACGCCTTAGTAAACTTTCAGACCAAATTTTTTTCAGTTATTAAGTGACGGCCAAGCGTATCCTTATATAGTCTTGTAAATAGTGTCTTCAGAAAATTTTCGCGTGCACAGTGATGCAACTCAGGTAATCTGCTGAATGGACGCCAATTTTTTACGTTTACAGGTGAGAGGCTTGACTCGCTCCATGCTCTCTCCTTAGCCTGGCTTTCGCTTTGCGCTATCTTTCCTCCACTTGCCTAAAAAACAGAAAAGTTAGTTGCTGTTATGTGTATCGTAACCAAGGATGTGTTACGATGTTACATACCTACGGTAGAGGAAGTAACTTCATTTTCATTTCGTTATTCTGTTTTCTCGTCAGTGTTTGTATTCACCCTGTTCACCGCATGCGACTTGCACCAATCTCCAGCCGGGCTTTGAGTGCAGTGCGTGCCCTAAAGGATTTCTGGGTAATTCTACCGTGGGCATCGGCAGAGACTTTGCTGAACATATCAAACAGGTAAAGTGAATTTTCAATTTTTTGCAATTTTAACAAACTACAAACGCTCAAAAAGTCATCTCCAATTTACTGCGGCTCTCAATTTACCTTTCATTCTTTTTTGAAAGTATTTCCAATACCCATCGCGCTTTGCTGGTTAAATATTTGGCCGAACTAATGGTATATTGGAATTTTTCACCACCAGCTTTGTCACGACGTAGATGAATGCAATGACGGAAGAAATGGTGGTTGCTCCGTTTTTTCCAAATGCATTAATACTCAGGTAAGTTACTTTTATTGACAACGTCATTCACATTGTTGTTAGAGGATCTTAATGTGGTGATGACTTTTACGGCTAATGGTTAAAATTTTGAGTTTCTTCATTATCTTTCGATGGGAGTTGATTTATAGATCGCGCTTTTGCTGATTAATCTATATTTCGTTTTTCAGGGGAGCTTTTCTTGTGGTGCCTGTCGAGATGGATATGTCGGAGATCCTTACAGTGAATGTGTTCGCGTCCAGTTTTGTTCTGGTGATCCCAAAACAAATCCTTGCGGCAAAGGAGCGGAATGTATACCAACAAAGAAAGGCGCAGCTTATGAGTGCAGGGTACGAGAAACTGTCTTGAAATTTATTTTTTTAATGATTTTTTTTTTCATGGTGTTCTAAATTGTTGGTACTTTTCTTGCCCATAAATGGGCTTGGCCAATTTCATGTTCAAGGGAAAAAAAAAGAAGAAAAGATCCTGGTAAAGAGTTAAGGTCGGGGTTTGAGTCGTTCGAAACATGACTAACTCTGATGCAACTAATTGCTTGTGTGCGTGTGTTTGGTTGGTTGTTTCCAAATGATTATGGTTATAAACCCAAAACTGTGGTTAGCCGAGGCTCGAGCAGTAAGGCACAGTTGATGGCATCGGGTTAATAGAGACCTTGAGCGGTCAGGGCGGCAACACAAGGGAAGACATCGATTAAGAAATGATTTTCTATTGTAAGTTAAAATTTCGAAAGTGGCTGCATGTACCTACCGTCACTTACGGTGCCACACCTTAACTTCAGCATAACTTACATAAGCAGTGTTGAGTTCCAAATGGAAATTTAAAAAAATTGCCGTCTCGGTTTCCGTTCGCAAGACGCAAATTCTGGCGATTTCCCGTTGTTGTTTTGCAGAGGACGGCTTCAAATGTACAAAGTTTTAAAACGCACGTGCTGGCTATTGTTCTACCCATTAGTTCTTTCGCTTTGCCACGTCCTCGTTGCCGTCCCCGTCGTGCTTTGCTAAAGGTCCCTAATAAAGCTGATTTATAGCAGGCAGAATAACAAAACATAGCGCTAATTGATAAATGCTCAAGAGCACATTTTGTGAAGAATGCTAGCTTGCTTCGGTTTGCTCGCGGTTACTTCTACCCAGGCTTACTTCTTGTATATAAAGGGCGACACTGCGCTGATCTGTCCAAGTTCATTGCTCCTCTCATAACCCTTGTTGATCTTAACATTGATATTCCCCTTTTAACAGTGTAAGCCAGGCCTGGCTGGGAATGGATTCGTGTGTGATGTTGACCAGGATATGGACGGAGTCCCGGATGAGGAGTTGAACTGTACTGGAGATCCTCGCTGTGCGAAGGTAAAACCACTAAGACAAAAAAAAAAAACCTAAACCATCGCTGCCTGTGGAAACTTGTTGCTGTCGTGGTGTACTTAAATTCAAGCCCTGGACACTTTTTGCAAGAAAATGTGTCAATTCGTTTAGAATGTTATGACCTATTACCTCAGTTCAAAGGAGCTTGCAGCTCCACAATTCCCACTTTCAAAGCTGATCTCATTCATTCTCTATTCTTTAGGACAACTGTAAAAATGTCCCAAATTCTGGACAAGAAGACGTGAACAAAAATGGCCGAGGAGATATGTGTGAACAGGACGTGGATGGTGACAGATTGTCAGATTTCAGGGTAATTGTTAATTTTGTTCATGTTAGAGAATGATACTCTTAGTCTCTCGTGCTGGATCGACGTAACTGGCAACATCTTACACTTACTTGCAAACACTTATCAGTGATTGTATTTTTTACGGAAAGGGAGTGAGGAGGGGGTGGGGGCGGGGGCACTTAAGAGGGTGGGGATGGCGGGGTACTTTAGGAAGTCCGAATATGTATTTTCCGCCCAGGCCATCAAACCTCAAATAATAACCTTTCAAGACTCGGGATCCAATTAAAACCCACCCTATTTTCCAACACATGCTCTTTTGGGCCAAGTGAATGAATGTCCCTTCGATCCCCATCTAAAGATTTTTTTAGCTTCATTGACTGTAAGGGTGAGTTTACTCTCTTTTAAACCGATCACATGGCCAATTTCCAAAACACGTGTGCTTTGATTTACTCCACTTTTCAGTGCTCATTTTGTGAAGCATGTTTCCCGCAGTTGTCGTAGTCACCGAATTAGATAAACTGTCCTTAACTTTTGACTGACTCTTGTCATCTGATTTTATCATACTCGGGCTTGTAGATATCTAGTGAACTGAACACATTTATTTACTCTCGTAGGACAACTGCCCGCTTGTTTTCAACAAAAATCAGAGAGACTCAGATCGTGACCGGATCGGGAACGATTGTGATAACTGTCCTGACATTCCTAACCGTGAACAAAACGACGCAGATGGCGATGGGATAGGGGATGCTTGTGACCCTGACATAGATGGAGATGGTAAGAAAAGCCGGCTTCAGGGGTAGAGTTTGGCGGGGAGGGGGGGTGGGGTGCGCATCCCTTCCTCAATCAGACCTGTGTTGTTTTTTTTCTACTACCCGTCTGAAACCAAATAAAATAACCACTTGAGAGCATTTTACTGCCCAAGTTAAAGCATCCAAAATTGATTGAATTGGCTTGAAATATTTCCTCGCTCATTAAGGTTGTAGTATCAAACAAAACTGCCTGTGTTTTCTGAATCGAAATTCGCTCCCCTACCTATCCAAATGTCTTGATCCTTCCTGGCAACAAATGTCAAGGGAAGGGGTGCAAAAGTTTGAGATCAGACAAACAAACTGTATATTTCTAAGCACTAATCGACCTTCCTCTTTCCCTGTAGGCCTCAGAAATGTCTTCGATAATTGTCCTCTGGTTCCAAACAGAAAGCAAACAAACAAGGACGGCGATGCCTTTGGAGATGCTTGTGATAACTGCCCCTTCACAGCCAATAGTAATCAAGTATGTGCGCCGTTCAACAGAGTTAATACGTTCCTCCTGTTTCCATCTACTTATATGCTGCTCCTTTTGTCGCCCTCTGATTCTTTTTCGCACCCAATTCCTGATGGAAAGTCCGGATTCGAGGCCAGGCTGGATCGTTGTGTGTTTTTAGGCATGATACCTCTATCAAACAGTGCCTCCTCCCCCCCCCCCCTTCCCCCAGGAAACTTTCAGGACAACTTGATAAATTGGGTGTGGGAAGGGGGAGTAAACTACGATGTTCTCGCATTTCTTTCATGCTTATGAATCCAGAGCTGAATCGCGAATAAGCTCCGGGGCCACCTATTCAATCTCTTGTTTCCACACGTATTTTTCCATTCCATTCTCGTCGACTCAACCTCCTACTTCTTTTACTTCCCCTTACGCGCTTCCTTTCCCATCTTTCAATTTATATTCTTCACCTTCTTCAGAGTTCTCTATGTTTTGTTAACCGAATGAATTCCTCTGCTAGAATGACAAAGATAATGACGGCTGGGGAGATGCTTGCGACGTGGATCGAGATTAGTAAGTACAACAAATTAAACCAAGATCTGAAAGTTAGTTCTCGTATTTGATGTTCATGTTCTTGTTTGAAGGCTAATCCTGAAAGTTAAGCGTTACTTCAAGTCAATGTTCTTCTTAAACGCCTTCTGCCTTCTGTAGTAGAAATTTTTGAAGAATTAATGAAATGATCATTCTTTAATGTTAAAAGTTTTGAAGTTATCTGAGAGGTCCATGAATTATGTTTTCTACTTACAGAGAAGTTATCACAGCCGTTGTAAACAAGTTCTCTTTCTTTTAGCGACAACGATGGAATAGAAGACAGGTTTGACAATTGTTTGAGTCAAGAAAATCCAGATCAACTGGATACTGATCAGGATGGAAATGGTAAGAACTCAATCCTTGAATTTGTCAGAGGGTTTGAAAAGAAAGATGTAGCAAGGAAAAAATTGTTATTTCAAAAGGATTAATCCGGTATTAGCTAATGAACGGGAAAAGAGATCTGTTCCTTCTTTCTCTCGTTCCATCGTTCCTTTGTTCCTTAGTTCCTTTGTTCCTTTGTTCCTTTGTTCCTTCGTTCCTTCGTTCCTTCGTTCCTTCTTTCCCTCGTTCCTTCGTTCCTTTGTTCCCTCGTTCCCTCGTTCCTTCGTTCCTTCTTTCCCTCGTTCCCTCGTTCCTTCGTTCCTTCCTTCCTTCGTTCCTTCCTTCCTTCCTTCCTTTGTTCCTTCGTTCCTTCGCTTCTTGATTCATTAATTAAAGCGACATACTAGATCAAGCGATTAAACATGTCCTTGTGCTACAGGTGATCCATGCGATAGCGATGACGATGGAGATGGTGTTCCCGATTACAGGGACAATTGTCGACTGCTGTTTAATGTCGATCAAAAGCAAACCAAAAGTAAGCTACATCCAAAATACATCAGTTCTCAACCTGCTGCGATCAAACTTTAAACAAAAAGCAGTTAGAGTGCTTAGTGAAATCAACTGCCTTTACACAGCAAGCCGATCACTAAGAATTCAGAAGAAACGGATATCTCCTACGTCAATAGCTGGATAATATTTGAACACGTCTCCCTTACAGTTAACCGATAGACATTTATATACCTGGCATAGAAGGAGGTTCTGATCGACGAAGGCGTCTCGTCCAAAGACAAAAGACACTGATTGGTATCATAGGCACTGACTTTGGATACCAAAGTCCGAAAAAATTCTTTCTGGCCTCATGGAAACAGAACAGGCAAGGCCCCTTCAGCATTCCTACATGTTGAACTGCATTGTAATTCTGTTTCTAGGTGATACATACGGCGATGCTTGTATTGAAGACTTCGACGGTGATGGTGTGCAGGATAAAGAAGATGCTTGTCCTGCCAATCCCAGCATAACGCGAACAGACTTCATTTTGTACCACACGTTGGCTATTGACCCTGCTGGCACCAAACAAGAAAGGCCCCTCTGGAAAGTCAACAAAAAAGTAATGTGACATATCTTGTAAAGGAGGAGATGGGATCTGTGGGTGGGAAGATTCAAAACGATTGTTTGAAGTCTTCAAATCATTGTCCTCGATTTGGTCAAAGCTTACGTCATTTTACTTGTTCTCAGTCTCATCTCTTCCTAGAGGGTGGAGAGGACCTTAGGCGAGGGAATTCATAGTGAAGCGTTCACTTTCAAAATTGGCCGATATACGACTTTCGTTGATAGATGAACACAAAAGGATGCCGTTACCTTGATAATCACTCGACAAATTTTATTGTGACTGCTGTATCGTTTCTGACATTTTGATAAATGTACCGGCCATAGACGATGAGCCATCATTCTCGGCTTGTCAGCCCGGTTTGATTATTTATGTTTTGTTTGTCAGCTGCCTCCGTATACCAGATAACGATGAAAAGAGAAATATGCAGAAGGAATTTATAGCACTGATTCAAGTCTTATTCCTTTTCTACTTCAGGGCAATGAAATACAGCAAGTTGTGAACAGTATCGCTACAATGCTCATTGGTAATTTGAAATAAATATATCTTATTAGACGTTTTGTTGTGTAGTATCGCTGAGTATTTTTACGAGTTGTGCCGTATTTTGACGAGCCCGTAGGGCGAGTCAAAATACAAATAACGAATAAAATTACTCAGCGATACTACATAACAAAACGTCTAATAAGTTATTTATTATCCAACACGCCAAACTGTTATTTCAGTGCGGGCGAATTTCGCGGATATTTATTTACGGGGAGTGCGTGACAGAAGTATGCGAAGCGGAACGGAATTGGCGCGTTGT